CGGCCACCCTGAGGTGGGCAGTTTCCCTCCGCCGTGATGCTCCTGCCTCTGCCACCAGGAGCCAAAATAGCCCTTTTTCCTTCTACACTGCATCTGTCGGTACTTCGTCCAGTGGCCACTGTGTCTAGACACCGCCTGGAGACTGGCCATAAGGAAAAGCGACTCAAGCCAGTGGACCAGCCAAGGCCCACAGAGTGGCAAACATCAACCGTCCTAGGCTGCCAGCTTCTGAGGGCCAGGCCCCTGCAGTTCCCCCGCGCACTCGGTGCTGCCCTCCAGGCTGCACCCAGCTCACAGGAAGGAGAGGCGGGGACAGCTTTAACTGCATGAGCGCTCACTTCAGACACAGCTTCCTGTTTTGACAGCCAGGACACCTGGGCTTCCAAACCCTAGCTGAGCCTCCGCGGCTTCAGAAGGTCCCGAAAATGCAGGCTAGCTTTGGGGATGCTAAATCCTCGCTTCCCTTAAGCCTGACGTACATAAACATCACAGACCAGCAGGGCCCACAGGATGACACTGCTCCTCCGCTGGGCCACACGGGCCACACGCCGGGGCTGCAGGCAGGAGCGTGGACAGGGGCCGGCCTGGGCGGGATGGGAGGCTCTGGCGAAGAGCACAGCGCAGGGAGGAGCTGGAGCTGCACGGGCAGGCTCAGCCCACACCTGCGCAGCCGCAGCCGCAGCCGCAGCCAGCCCTGTGCACAGGCTGGAGGAGAGGAAGTCCTGGAACCTGCGGACCCACTTCTCCAGCGTAGGACCCCAGACGTGGCCGGCGGGCTGAGGAGGAGGAGAGCCCCACCCCCCCACCCCAGCCGGGGCCACGCGCCGACCTCAAGGAGGCAAGCGCTGGGTCAGAGGGTCCTGAGCCTGAGGCCTGCTCTGGGGGCCACAGCTGTTCCTGACTGAGCGGCACGGACCAGGGCCGCAGGGCACGAAGGGACCTAGCTTCTCACCACTGCTGTTTGCTTGCTTACTACCACGGCAGGGCGCGGGACAGCTCTGACTCGAGGCCCGCGCTGGCCCATCCACCTTCCTGCCTTCTCCCTGTCTGCTGGAACACTCCAGCCACATGCAGGTGCGCAGTCACTCCTCACACTCACAGCCCAAAAGGAACGACAGGACAGGAGCCACCACACGCGGCCCGGGTGCGTGGCCACTTACTCTGTGGGCCACGGGCACGAGCAGAGCAGGAGGGCTAGAAACCGGTCTCCGCGGGGCCCCACCTCACGGCACCTGCGTCCCCTTCCTGCAGAAAGTGATTCAGATGAGCAACAGCGCAAGGCCAACTCACAGCTCTGAGAACTCGATGCCCTCCTCACACAGGTGTGGGAGACGCCCGCAGCCGAAGCTGTGGGGACAGGGTGTGGAGAGACACCTCCGGGTGGGAGCCCCACTGGAGAGGGTGGAGGAGCAGGGCCGGCCCAAGCCACATTTCCCCAGAGGCTTCTGGAGGAGCTGTGCAGCCCGAGCTCCAGGGACGGACACCAGCGAGGGGGAAGCAGCACTCACACCCTACCAAGGCAGCCACAGTGAAGCGAAGCAGCTGCCCACGTGGCGGCCTGGAGAAGCCGCACAGCACAGCAAAGCCTCCTCAGGCACCTGTCGCCATCCCCACCCCACTCAGCTGCACAGGGCACTGTGGGCAGCGGCGCTCAGCACCAGCCCCAGGCCTACGGAGACCCAAGCGCGGCTGATGCAAACTACAGTGGGCACCATGCTGTGCAAAGGCTTGCACCAAAAAAGTAAAGATATCTCAACCTCATATTGAAATGTTACAGTCCTATGACAAATGCATGCAGTTTAATGAAGCTACTAGAATTAATTTCAGCCGTTTCTTTGTGTTTCACCAAGGCTACTAAAAAACTCTAAGTTACATATACAGCTCCTATTATACTTCTATCAGGTAATGCTAGTTTAGAAAATGCTAACAGCCTGGGCTTAGAAACTTCAAATATTTCTTATTATCTTGGTTTTAATACTATATTTGTTTTTCATCTGAAAGAAGTGTTCCACCTGGGGAGTGCCCCGAACTGGGAAATGGTCTCACCAGCAGGAGAGCACCGGGCACCCCGACCGGGACCCCGACTTCATCCCAACAGCACCAAGGGACCGGAGAGGTTTCCTGCCAGGGACGAATGCCGCACCTTTTTGTCGCAAGTCCCTAGACGGTTTCCTCAGTCTGTGTCACTGACCCGAGCTCACGCTGGAGCGGGAGTCCCCACATACGGGACCACAGGGCCGGAGGGCGAACCGCACCTCCGCCACTAGGCCGCCCTTGGCACAGGGCCGCAGCAAAACCCTCAGCCCACTTCCCGAGAGGGCGGGGAAGCGATTTCCGAGAAGCGTTGGCCCAGGCGCGGAAATCAGTTACTCTTTAACCCGATGCCCACTCACAGAGCGCTGGGGAAATGTCACCAGAGAACCGGGCTGTGACCCCAAAAGTACCCTCCCGCCGGCGCCGTTCGCTCAGCTCTCCAACAGGAATAACGCGAGGAGACGCTGCTCTCGAATTCCTCTGCTCTCAGGGCTGCGGTGCCCTCTGCCCCAAAGTCAGGGGCTGCGCCTAAAACTTAGAGCTGCCGATGTAAAGCAAATACAACTTTTAAAAGCTCGGAGTCTGCACTGTGACGGGAACTCCCTTTCTGTTTACTCCACAGACGTTCACTCCCACAGGCTTCCAGGTCCAGGGCTACTGTGTCGAGTTTCCGGGCATCAGAAGGAGCAAGCTGCGGACACCCACGCCCTCGGGCCACTGCGGGTGTCTCGGGGTCCCCGAGAGCCCCAGCCCTGTAAGCGTCACTCTCCCTGCCCACTGGGACCCCACTCCTGTGCCCGGGGTCCCTTTCCTTCCCCATCTATGGAATTTCTCCAAGCCCAGTGACCTGCCAGCCTCTCAGAGCGCGGAACCGGGCATAATCCGGAAAGACCTGGGGTTATATAATATATACGGTATGCACTCCACTTCTTCCTGAGTAGCAGAGCCCGCTACCGGCATGCCCGAGGCCGCCTAGGTACTGCGCATTTGAACTGACAGGCGTGCAAAGGCAGGGACCCATGTGGGTTCGCAAAGTTCTGGGCAGAGTTCCGAGTGGATCGCCGGCCGGAGGGGCCCGGGTCCCGGCGCCGCTCGGGTCTGCTGGTGCTGGGGGTCCGGACTCGGGGCTGGATGCAGGGTTACCGCGTCCGGTCGCAGGGGCCCCGGTGGGGAAGCCGGAGTGGGCGCCCCGCCTCCCCCCTGGGCCACGGGCCGGGTGGGACGCGGACCAACTTCCTCGGTCCGCCGGCCGGAACGGCGCCTCAGGGCCCAGCCGGGACCGCCCGCCAGGCCCGCGGGCCCCCTCGTAACGGACCCGGACCCGCGCAGGCCCGGCCCGGTCCAGCCCGCTCACCCGCGCCGAGGTCTCCCCGAACAGCGGCCTGTGGTCCGGCGCGCTCGTGCCGTAGGTCCGCGCCGAGAAGCCCTCCATGCCGGGCCGCGCTCGGGCCTCCTCGCGGTCCCGGCCGCGTCACCGCACAAGCCCCATCCGCCGCCGTGGCCGCAATCCCGCCGCGCACTCGCAGCCAAGGTCCTCCGCGCGCCGGCCCCGCCCACAAGGCTCTCGAGGCCCCGCCCGCCCACGCCCCGCCCGCCCACGCCCCGCCCACTCAGCTCTCGAGGCCCCCGCCCGCCCACAGCTCGCCCACAATGGTCCCGAGCCCCGCCCCTGACCGCTCGTGGCCACGCCCCCCCTGCGCGCCCCCGCGCGGGTGCTCTCCACAGCCTGCAGGGTGACAGCCCCGGCCCTGCAGCGCGGCGCCCCGCCGTGGAGCAGCAGGCGGGGCGGCTGGGAACGCGGCCCCACGGGGCACGGCCACCCGGGAGCGTCCCGAGGCGGGGTCCACACGGGCGGGCGCCTCTGCTCCTGAGGAGGCTTCTCGCTTCTACAAGCTCAGGGCGCGCAGTCGGGGCCGTGCGGCGCTCGCTCCCGAGGACTGAGCGGGAAAAGTGCTTTCAAGCCCGGGCTCTGGGCGTGCGCAGCCCACGCCAGGGCGAGGATCGGTGCGCGGGTGAAACGCAGGCAGCCACGAGTCGGGGCAGTGATCCGTCCCGCACTGGGATCGACCCGCGGCGATAACCCCGAGCCTTTTTACTTTTTATCTCTGAGACAGGGTCCCACCAAGAGGCCGAACTGCCCATCCTCCTGCCCCCGCTCCCCGGAGCGCTGGGTTACCGGGTGCACCACCACGCCGGCCGCTGCTGGCAATTTAAACACTGGAGAGCGTTTTTTCCAGCTGAAAGGGAAGTTCAGCTCTCGCAGGTGGGTACCCAGCCTTGCCCCCGGCGGCCCAGCTCTGTGTGGACCCGCGAGGCCGCCCCACGCCCGCGCGTCCTCGCTCGGCCCGCCTCACAGCAGACTGCGCCCGCCTGCCTCGGCCTCCCCACAGAGCCCCGGCTCGGCGTTCCGCCTCTCGCCCAACACAGGACCTGCGGTCTCCCGCAGGGTCGCGACTCGCGGGTCAGCCCTGAGGCCGGCGTGGAAGCTCGGTCACAGCCGCCCGCGAGCAGCTTCCCCACCCCAAGTTCTGAGTCCGTTCAGCGCGGACGCCGGGCGCTCGGTCGCGCGTGGGCGGAAGGCCTCCGACCGAGGGGCGCCCCCCCACGTCCCGCCTCTCCTCTCCTCCGGACAGCAGCTCCCGCGCCCGCCCTGCGCAGCCGCGGTGCAGGAGCAGAGCCCTGCGGCCCCACGGAGCGTCCCCCGCCAGCCGGCCCTGGGCACCGAGGGGTGAGCCGGGGTCAGGACTGCGGGGCCGGCCCGGGTAGGGGGCGGGCGCCTGCCGGACTCCTCGGCCGAGGCTGGAAGCACGCGGCGAGACTCCGCCCCGGGCACCAACACAGACCGAAGCCACCGAGGGCAGGTCGAAAGGAAAGCGAACGCTAGGGCTCCGAGGGAAAGGCCGTTCGGTGCCCGTTCCTCGGCGTTCTTAAGAGGCGGCGGTCAAGCCGGGCGAGGCGCTGCACACCTGGCATCCCAGCTGCTTGGGAGGCTGGGGCGGGAGAACTGCAAATCCGGGCCAGCGCCGACGACTTGTTGAGACCGCGTCAAGGGGCGAAGGTGCCGCGGGTGCAGCTCGGTGGTGGAGCACCGGGTTCAACGGCCAGTGCTGAGTGCGGAGTCTAAAACCCAGCAGGAGAGAACCCGAGTCAGACAAGGCGGCTGCGCTGGACGCCACGCCTCGCGGCGAACGCGCTCCCCGCCGGGCCGCCCACCCGCTCTCCGGGCTCGGGCCATTCGCTCCCCGAGAGGACCGGTGAGGGCACGGAGTGAGGTCACGCTCTCCGCGGGCTGCGGCTGGGCCCGAGCGCGGAGCCCGGAAGGTCGCCTCCCACCGGCCGCGGGCAGCCCTGAGCACGGCCCGGCAGTGTCCAGGCCGGGGCGGGGTGGGGGGGGGACTGGGGCTCCGAGGGCCCGGGCCCTGGGGCGCGCGACGCCTGCGGACGGAGGTCTGGCGCCCCCGCTCGGGCCCTGCGGACATTGCACGGCCCGCGGCTTTTCCCGCGGACCTCAGCGGGGTGAAACCCAGGAGGCGACGGAGCCTGAGAGCTTTAGGGTGGACCGGCGCGGACAGAATGTGCAAGGTCGAGTCACAGTGGCCGAACCGAGCCCTTTGTGCAGTGATGCTCTGCTTCGCACGCATGTGGACGCCAGGCCCTCGCTCCGGTGGGGCCGGCGCACCGCAGCCCTCGCGGTAGCAGGGTGGGGGGGCTCTTCCTTTTCGGTGTGGGTCGTGTCGGAAGCCTGAGACCGCGCTCCGGAGCAGGCGCGGCGTGGCTGTGCCCGCAGTCTGTCCGTGACCGCGCCAGGACCCCGCAGCCCGCGGCTGCTGTCCCCGTTCACCGCAGCTCCGCCGCAGTTTTAGCGTTTAGAAGCTCCTGTAATTGTCAATCCTGTAATTTAGGGAGGGACCTGAATTCTAAAAGCAAAGTTTTGGGTTAAAATATTTCAAGGAAGTCTTGGTTGTTTTATTGGCTAACAGGGATTTAAAAGGCACAATGGCAACTTTCTTCCAACGTCAGGGCAGAGACATGCCCACACACGCGTGAGTACACACTCACTCGTCTGCATCGCTGAAGACCTGGGAAGGCTCTGTCAGTGGGCGAGGCCTTCAGGGAAGTCTCAGAAGTGGGAGGCGCAGCAGCTGGTTCCGACGCAGGTGAGACTCACGACAGAAGGAGCCCGGGGTCTGTGCTAACGCCAGGAACCACCTCTGAAGACGTCTTCAAGCCCGTGCCGCCCTTCCCAGGACCCTCCTGTGAGGGACAGTCTCCAGCCTCTGAGGCCCTCACCGCGGCGGTTACCACTTTTTCCCGGCTCCTCCTGGGTCCTTCGCATGGCGGAAGCAAGTTTGGCCTCATGCTTCGGTTGCTGGCGGCCGGACTGGCTCAGAGGCAGTGGCATCTGCTTCCCTTGTTGAGCACAGATGCGAGTAATGAGGCCTTGTTCTTTCCTTCTCCCTGGACAGCACTAAGGCACGGAGCTTGTGCCAGGGTGGAGCAGTCCCAGCACGACCCGTTAATTAAAATAGAGGACAGGCCTCGGAGCAGGGGCAGGTGCAGGTGGCCTGGCTCAGGGAGAGGAGAGGCGTCCCTGTCGCCGTGACCGAGAGGCCTGCCTGCTGGGGCTCCTAGGCCCCTGGGCTGGTTTCCTGGCAGCCTGGCAGTCAGGGACAGCTGACAACCGCCCGCCTGCCAGGGTGGAGCAGGGGCCTGGGGGCTCGGGTGAGTGGCTCACTCTCTCACTGGTTTCTGCCTGCCCTGCACTCACTGCGTAGCCTCGGCTGGGCTGGACTTGGGACCCTCTCGTTCCCCTGAGTGGTGGGGTCGCCGTGTAGGCCACCGTGCCTGGCTCGTCACGTTCTTAAGCCTGCACAGTGACGGTTGTGGTCTCTTCTGGTTTTGAGCAGAATATACTGTGACGTCGTCGTCAGGAGGAAGTTGGGGCCCGAGTGCACTCAGGGGGGTCACCTGGACCCAGCCAGGCCCCTCTCCACCCCTGCCAAGCTCAGGCTCCACGATGGGCTGGACTGCCCGGCCCAGGCAAGGGGACCCAGGGGCCACAGCTTTGAAGCTGGAGCCGAAGCCAGTGCTTCCTTCTTCACGTTGTTTATGCTGGGTGTTTGGTGACCGAAGACACCCAAACCGCTGGCACATCCGTATTTCAGGCCCCAGTGACAGGGAGAGGGACTGGAAGAGGTGTCTGCCCTGGCCACAGCAAGACAGGGGAGGGCACTGTGAGCCTGAACGAGACCCGGGGTCCCGGAGACTGAGTCCTCGCTGCAGGAGGGTCCGGTGACCCTGAGGCTCTGGGGAGACTGGCCTGGAAGGAGCTGAGGGTGGCAGGGGGCTAGGGTGCGGTTGGAGGAGGAAGAAGCCCAGAGAGGGCGACTGTGGCGGGAGAGGAACAGGAGGTGCTGGTGACAGGACTCTGTGAGGGGCCAGGGGAGCGTGCTCAGGAAAGATCCACCCAGCAACGACGTGACAGGGCTCAGAGTGGGCTGGCGAGCTGGGGAGGAAAGATTGGAGGGATGAGGCAGAGCGGTCCAGGAAGAGGGCACCGCAGCGGGTAGGCCGCCGTCCCAGGGCTCCGGGGGTGACAGGGGCTACCGGGCTACCGGCGACGTTGACACGGACAGTCCCAGAAAAGCAGCCTGTGCAAAGAAGCGATGCAGGAGAGAAGTGAAGGTAGTCCGGCTGTTCTTTCAAAAAATGCACACGTGGGGCCGGGATTTAGCTCAGTGGTTCCACCGCCTGCCTGGAAAGCGCAAGGACCAGAGTTCGATCCCTGGTACCAAAAAAAAAAAAAAGATGTACACGTGCCAGGCCCAGTGACACACATCCGTAATCCCACCTACTGGAGAGGCTGAGGCAGGAGGATGACAAGTTTGACACCAGCCTTGGCAACCCTGTCTCAAAATAAAAATTAACAGAGTAGCTCGGTGTAGACACAGCCCGCGCCCAAGGCTGCCAAGAAAAAGAAAAAGGCACAAGCAGAAAGAAAGAGGGCTCAGTGAGGGGAAAGCTGGAGGCCCAGGAAGACGTCGTCCGGGTGTCGGTGTGTCGGGATGAGAGCCCTTGGCGCGAGTGGGTGAAGGGTCCAGTGGAGAGAGACCTGTGGGAGTTAAAGGTGCGAGGACGAGAAGTAAGCAACGGAGACGGGGTGGGAGGGGAGCAGGCCAATAACACTGGAAAGCGGCATGGATTCTTCTCCACAGGAGGAAGGAGGGAAATGGACAGGAGGGCGGAGGGAGCTGGAGGGGTTAGTGGCTCCTGCTCCGCTGACTCCGGAGAAACAAAGCAGGGGGCCCGGGATTGGGGGGGGGGGGATACGGTGTGTGTGCATGTGTGTGTTCAGATGGAGAGAGACAGGCACGGAGGAGTTGGCGGGCAGAGACTGACTATGGGGAACGCACTCGCTTGATCACGGAGGCCACGGGGCTCCTGACCTTGCAGCGCCATCTGGACACGGGAGACCCAGGGAAGCTGGTGCGGAAATCCCAGTCTGTGCCCAAAGGCCTGAGAGCAGGAGGCAGTGCTGCCAATTCCATTCCATCCGCGGGCAGGAGGCGCCACCCTGGCTGGCCCGGCAGGCTGACTGGCCAAGGGGCGAATTCCCGCCCCCGCCCTGTGCTCTTCCCCTCTCCTGGACTGGGTGGTGCCAGCCACAGGCAGGGCATCTGCTTTCTGGGCCCTCGCTCTGTCTCACCGGGGACACCCACAGGCACACCAGGAATGAGGTCTCATCCGGCAACACAGATTTAACACACATGCACAAAACGTGGGATCGCCACTTGGCTAAAAGATCTTGAAAGAATATCTCAGGGCCGTGCCTTACTGTGTGAGCTCCCGAAATCAAGGTGAGGGGCTACTGGACTCGGCAGAGAAGGGCGTTTGTGAGGGAAGGATATAAAACAACAAATGGAAAGGGGCAAAGCAGCACCGAGATTTCACCAACCCTGTCCCCAGCCTGGAGAGGGTTGGTGGGAGACAGGACGACCCCACGAGCCTCCTGGGCCGGGAGCCAGGGTCAGGGCCACTGGCTGGGTCTCTGCTACAGAGCAGAGATGGCAAGGCTTTAGGGAAGAGCTGTTTAAGGGGATGCTTTGGAAGTTAATGGAGAACAAACAGGGAGGGGTACAGTGAGACTCAGGGAACTGAGTGGGGGGGAGGTGCACAGGTGGAAATGCAGGCCGGGACAGGAGGAGTTGGGCAGGTGTGGAATGAACCAGGCTCAGGGCTCCAACTGCTGTCAAGTCTCTCTCTGTCACTGCCAGCTCTCCATCTTAGCCCTAGACAGAGCTCTGTACCTTTTGGGAGAGGCACAAAAACACTCACAGGGATTAAGAAAAAATACTTTTCTTCCAACACTTTTAAATTGAGAAGTAACTATGCGTGTGTGAGTGCAGCGTGACCCTTCGATGTGTGTTTACGCTGTGGAATGATCAAATCGAACTAGGGTCACAGTCTCCTCACACTCTGCGTGCTGGGGAGGATGTTGCACATGGACTCTTTCAGGAGTTGTGAAATCCACTCCTTGCCGTGCTGCGGATCTCCGACCGTCGTGTCTGAGAGAGAGCTCTAAGCTGTCACGGTGGGCCCGTGCCTCTGTGTCCTGCTCTGTGCTTGGTGAGGAGGACAGGGCAGAGTCTGGGCGTGAGTGCCACATGCAGTACCTGCTTTTCTTGTCTCGTCTGGCTTGTGTCACTCAGCACGGTGTCCTCCAGGCTGTCCATGTTGCGGATGACTGGATTTCCTTTTCATTGTAAAGAGTGAACAGTACTGTGTTGTGTCCATGCAGCGCATTTCCTTTATCCACACATCTGCACAGATGGCTTCCTCGCTTAGCAGCACGAGCAGGGCTGCAGTGGACGGACACCTCCATTCCTTCACGTGCGTGCTCAGCGGTGCCGGCTGCATGCTGGCTCCATGGTTGATGTTTGCAGGGGTCTTCCCTTGGTCCTCTGCACAGCCGCATGGGCTTGCTCCCCCTGGCAGTGAGGGATGCTCCTCTCTCCACACCCGCTGGCAGTGATTTGCCGTCATTACAGAACAGCCATTCAGCGACGACCGCGGTGACAAGGGACCGTGTCTCCCCGTGGGTCTGGGCTGCGCTTCCCTGTGGTTACCCTGCTGAGCACTTTTTTCATACCTCCTCTGGCCACTTGTATGTCTCCTAAGGAATGTCTTTTCAGGTCCTTCACTCATTTTAAAATCAGAGTTCTTGGGAGTTTTGCTTGTGTTCTTGCTATTAGAGAGTCCGAGTCCCTTATTATTTTAGAATTCTTTTAAATTTCCGAACATGGCACATAAATATTTAGGGTTGTTATGTGCTCTTGATGAATTGACCCCCTTATCAATATATGGTGGCCTTCCTTGTCTCCTTTTACAATTTTTTTTAACTTAAAATTGGTTTTGTCTGATATAAATACAACCATCCTTGACTGGTTTTAGGTTCCATGTGCCTGGAATAGCTTTTCCCATTCCTTCCCTTTGGCCCATGTGTATCCTTAAGGCAAACTGAGTCTCTTATTGGCAGCATATTCTTGGATTTTAAAAAATCCATTTGGCCACTCTATCTTTTGATGAGAGATGTTATCTATATTTAAAGGAATTATTGACAGGTCATGACTTACTATTGCCAACTGTTTTGTGGTTTCTTTTTCCTTTCTACCGGTCTTGCTGTCTTCCTTTATGATTTGTTCCATTTTTGTGCTGGTATGATTTGATTTCATTCTCTTTATTTTTTGTGTACCTACTAGAGGATTTTTTCTTTGCGGTTATCATGAGGCTTACATAAAACATGTATAGTTATAATATTCTAATTTAAGCTAGCAACAGCTTGACTTTGAATGCATACAAAGACTACATTTTTACTTCTTCCCCACCCCACATTTTATGCACTGATTTTGTGTTTTCTGTCTATTTATATTGTGTATTCCATAACAAATTATTATAACTATAGTTAGTCCTCCTGCCATGGTCTTTTGCAGAACAAAAGTTGTAAGTTTTGATTCAGTCCAACTTACCAATTTTTCCTTTTATGGATCATGCTTTTCATGTCCAGTCTAAGAACTTCTTGCCTCATTCCACAAACCACAGATTTTCTCCTCTTTTCTGAACACGGGGGTGGTGGTGATGTTATTTTATACTTAAGTCTGCGTCCTCCTTTGAAATAATGTTTGAATAAGATGTGAAGCTTGAGAGTCGCTTGTTGGCCTGTGGGTGGCCGTGTGTGGGAAAGGCTCTCTCTCCACAGCTGAGTTGCTCCCTTACCTTGGTTAAAAAAAAAAAGTCTTGGAATTGGGCAGACCGATTACTCTGGCTTCATTCTTCTTTTTCAAATTCATCTTAGTGATTCTTTTGCTTTCTCATATAAGTTTTGAATAACTAATACCTACAGAATCCTTGCTAGGATTTTAATAGAAATTGCACCGATCTTGCCATTTGGAGAGAGTCAGATCTTTATTAGGTTGCATCTACCCAGTCACAAGCCCGTGTCCTCTCCATTTACTCAGATCTTTTCTCATTCACTTCATT